TCAGTCAGCGGAGGAGTGGCGGAGGACCCCGAAGAGGGCAAGTTCCTGGTCGACTTCCAGCAGAAGTCGTGGAACGGTGCGTTTGCCCTCTCTTCCTTTCCGCGCCACACACATACACAACACACAACACACACATTCCAGGGGTGATCCAACCCCTTGGCGAACAGTGAGATGTTGACCTCCCCCTCTGCCCTCTTGCAGAGCCCCAAGCGGCGGACAATGACGAAGACGGCGGCGAGTTCTATCACGAAGACATCCAGCGCGAGGAGGACCGGAAGCGATGGGAGCGCAACGCACAGCAAGAAATCGTGAATGGTACACACGCACACGCAACCGCACACGACACGACACGACACGACACGCACCGAATGTCCATCTGCACGCGGCGCCGCAATGCACCGCACGACACACACACCAACACACACACACGCACCACCGCACACGCCTGTCTCACGTTGGAGGTCGTGCGATATAACAGATGAAGCCGCGGATCTTAAGAAGCAAAAGGATCTGGAGGTGCTGGACAAAGTGATCGCGCAGACGCGGCAGGGGAGGGACAAGGCCCGCGTGCTCAAGGAGCGACGAAAGCAGCGCGCGCAGGAGCGGCTGGACAAGATCAAGGAGCGCGAGGAGCAGATGAAGAAGGTGAAGGAGATGGGCGAGAAGGGCGAGAAGGAGCTCATCATCCAGATCGAGGAGGAGGCCGAGGAGGAGCGCCTCGCCCGGGAGCGGCTCGCGCGGGAACGGGAGGAGCGCGAGCGACGGGAGCAGGAGCGGAAGGAGCGCGTCGAGCGCGAGGCCAAGGAGCGCGAAGAGATGCAGCGCAAGAAGCGGGAAGACGAGGAAAAGAAGCGGGCCGAGAAGCAGAAGAAGAAGGAGGAGTTCCTCGCCGCCAACCCCCTCTTCGCCCCGTCCTACGAGACGACGGCCACCACCACCACGACGCCGACGCCGGCTCCGCCCAGGCCTGTTGCTGCGAGGCCCGCGCCGGTGGCTCCGGCAGCGCAGGCGTACCCACCAGTACCGGCGGCGGCGGGCTACTATCCCGCGTCGGGCTATCACCCACAGCAGGCGGCAGCCTACCCGCCGCACATGGCCTACCCGGGCTATGCAGCGCCGCCGCACATGATGGCCGGATATCCGCCGGGCGCCGCGCAGCACCAGGCGGCGTACCCGGGCCAGCACCACTACAACCCCATGGGGCCGACGGCCCCCAGCGCCACCACGGCGTCCTCGGCTTCTTCCTTCTCGGCCGCAGCGGCTGCCGACAACTTCCTGGCGCGACTGATGAGCGAGCAGCAACAGCAGGGCGCCAGCCAGCAGCACGTCCAGCACTACGCCCAACAACAGGCCCAGTACAACTACCCAACATATCCCCCTGGGGTACTCACAACTCCCCAAGCGTAACTCTGGGTTCGTGTGCGAGGTGTGGGCCTTCGGCTGACTTTGGTGCCTTGTCTGTGCACACGCTCTCTCGCAGGGATCGTATGGCCCACCCGGCGCCTATCCTCCTCAGCAGCCTCAACAGGGGAACTACCCTCCCGGTGCCTATCCTCCGGACGCCGCGGCTGCCCAGCAAGCACAGCAGCAGCAGTATTGGGAGGCCTACTACAGGCAACAGGCCCAACAGCAATGAATACATTAGCGCATATTGCTATCCTCACGACACAAGATGGCGTCCATCGCACTCACCGCACATGCACACACGCGCAGGAGAGACTGTCCCTTCCCAGTCCTATATTTTTCTTTGATTTTTCCATTCGGACTCAGCACGACAAGGCGCCGTAGTTAAGTGGTAAAATTCTCGCTTAGGGTGCGAGAGGCCCCGGTTCGATTCCGGGCGGCGCCCAAACGTTTTGCTTTGCTTGGGGAACACTTGGCGCGGCACGAAAGGAAAATAGCAGCACCACGTATGGCCAGAAATGGAGTTATAACAAGTAAGGCGCTGTAGTTAAGAGGTAGAATTCCTGCTTTGGGTGCAGGGGGCCCCGGTTCGATTCCGGGCAGCGCCCTATCTTTTTGTCCCCCACGAATCACCAGGCGCCAAGCACACATCTGGTCTATTCGAAGCTCAAGCAGGTACCGTACGGCTCAGGGGCTGTGGCTGGTAACGCTGTCGTCGCCCATCTGCAGGTCGAAGTAGGCGAGTACCTCCTCCATGCGCGGCCGCTTGTCGGGAGTCGCGTGCCAGCACTTGCGCACGACCTTTGAGAAGTGGGCCGGGCAGTCGTGGGGGATCTGCGGTCGGCGGCCCTCGAGCACGTCGAGCGACACGCCCATGAAGTTGCGGCCGGCGTAGGGCTGGCGTCGGGTCAGCACCTCCCACATGATCACGCCGAACGAGAACACATCGGCCCGCTCATCGTACTTCTCGCCGCGGATGATCTCCGGCGCCGTCCAACAGGGCGTGCCGCATCGAGTCATCGTCGCGTTCTCCTCCTTGATCCGCGCAAACCCAAAGTCGGCCACCTTCACATTCCAATTCTCGTCCACCTGCGCGTTCATGTGAGCGTGTGTCGTGGGTCGTGTCATGTGTGCGTGTCGGTTGAGTACCAGCAGATTGGAGGGCTTGAGATCGCGGTGCACGATGGTGGGGTGGAGCGAGTGGAGGTAGTTGATGCCCAGCACGGCGCTGCGAAGGAGTTTGAGCTTCTGCACCCACGCCAGCTTGACGCCGGGGTCGAGCAGGATGTCCTTCAGGCTGCCCTGCTTCACGAACTCGGTGACGATGCACAGATTGGGTTTCTTGACGCACGCGCCTGTGTTCGACATGCGCGATCGGTCAGCGTGCGCGTATGCGTGTGCGGTCCTCTCTCTCTCTCTCTTTGTGTGTGTGTGTGTGTGTGTGTGCCGTGGTGCGCGTGTGCGGTCGGTTACGATGAAGAGTACGATGGTTGGGGGTGGTGGAGCTCGGAGAGGAAGGCCATCTCGGCGCGGAACTCGAGCATGCGTCGCTCGTCGAGCTTCTGCTTGATGAACCGCTTGACGGCCACGTCGACG